CCCCCTTCTCCCCCTTCTCCCCCTTCTCCCCCTTCTCCCCCTTCTCCTTCTTCTGTGGTGTTAATGCTTAGTGGATATCCACAGCCTTTTTATATGTCCTGGTGACACACAGGCAGGGATAATGGTACCCTGCATGGTATGGAGGCACAGTACTCTCCCACCTTCTGTTTGGATGAGATAGGGTAGCGTTGATCTTAATCTTGCTTCTCTCCTGTACGTTTTTTTTTTTTTTTTTTTTTCATGGAACCAGGTCTCTCCAGACACTAGCAGCAGGTTGGTAGCTTATGACCCAGGGCTGGTAGAACACTTCTTGCTGTGTTGTCTGTCCTCCAGCCCTAGGAGGGGGAGGTGACTGCTTCCTGTGGAAATTGTGTCTGGGTTGTCAAGGTGTCCCCTCGTCCCCTCTTACTTTTCTGCTTTTTCACATGAGGCTGTGTCTTGTGTTTAAGTCCCCTGTGCTGTGTGATAACTACTGCGTCAGACTGTGAGCAAGACCTCTCTGTTTGTTTACATCTCGCACATGTGGGAAGGCCCGCACTTAACAGCAGAAATGTGCAAATGTTTCCTGCTAACCATATGAGACTCTCAGAGTATTTTGATCCTCTTTGTGGTAAGCACCCACGGCAGAACTGTGGCGTCTGAGCTGACCTGCTTATCTCTGCTGCTACAGATTCTATTTCACAGTGGTCAGGTGAGCTTAGACTTTTGGTGACTGCATTTTGGGTTTACATTCATTTATGTGATCACATATTGGCTGCCAGCCACCGTGCAGATGCCGGGGGCGAGGAAACAAGTAGCCAGCAACAGCTCAAACCTTGCACTATCCTTTTGTTTTCTGCATTTTGGTTAGGAGAAATGCTTCAATAAACAAGATGTATGATAAACACTCAGAAGAATCAATACTACAATAAGCCACAAAAGACGCCATGGCTTTAGGGTCAGGGAACATGTTGAGTTTTTAGACCAGGAGGTCAAGGATGAGCTATCTTACTGAGTTAGAGTCAAAGGGAAAAAAACCAAAGCAGTAGGCACCTGGGGCCTCCAGGCAGATAGAGAACTTTTGGATTGAGGGTTAGCAGTGGAGAGGCCAGTATAGCTGCAGTGGAGAGTGTAGGTTAGGCAGCTGGGGAGGCGGGTGACGTCAGTCATGATCTCTGTCATCACAGGGGACTCTGAGCCATGCAGTTGATTTGGTATGAGTTGAATTCCAGCTGATGTGCTGAGATAGACGGGCTAGAACAAGGGAGCATGGAGGAGACTGGAGGGCTGCTGGGACCAGGTCTGATGGAGCAAGCGTGAGAAGGGGCTGCGCACAGGCCTGGAGGGGAAATCCATGGAGGTGCGAGAGAATAGAGGTTGGTGTGTGGCACAGTGTGCTGCACTGGAGCCACCTCAGGGAGTTATGGAGTAGGAAGGGCTGGCTGAGGGGGCCAGCCTGGAAGCTGGCATTTAGCAGCTCAAATCGTAATGTGAACCTGAGCACGGTGTTCCTGTCCTCGCTGTGTTCAGTTTCATCACCAGTGCTGAGCACCGTCAGTGTATAGGACACTGTATCTTCCCAGATACGAGAGCCTCAGCTGGGATAGTACCAGGAACGACTGGACACTGATGCCGCACCTGTCTCCACATCCCAGACACGTGCTCCGTCCTCAGGTCTACCCCAGCTCCCAATCACATCTGGACATCAGGGAGAAGTGTGATGTCACCAGCAAACAGGGAGGACTAGCTATGGCTCAGAGGCACCAAGTTGCTTTCTTAGCAAGCGTGCTATAGGTGGGTCTGGACAGCTGAGCAGGGTATGGAGTTGCCACTTCTACCTGGCCTTTGATGTCGGGATGTTAGGATGTGGCCCTTGGCATTTGCTGTAGCCTCATCCCCACGTGGAGCCTTCCCAGGGCCATCCTGCCATCCTATCTGGGCAGCTTTCACTTCTTGGATTTGACCATTTCCTCTGGATCACCATTTATTTGTCTATCTATCTATCTATCTATCTATCTATCTATCTATCTATCTATCTATCGGCTCTTTCATGACCCCCTGACCCATCCTGTCCTGGGGTGCCTGCTCTTCCTCCTTCTTGTTTTGTATTTGATCCCAGATCTCTGCCCTGCTGCCCACATCAGGCTCCTCTCTGAAATCTTTGACTCCCATCTTCCATGAAAGATTTCTTGGCTGCACTTGGTTTCCGATTCCCTGACTTCATGCCATGATCTTGTGCTATGGCCCGGGCCACCATGACACGTGGGTTGTCTTTCCTAGCAGTAGATGGAACGGGTTAGA